CCAGGCTTCCTGGGTCTGCGTGGGGACCGGCTGCAGCCCCAGAGCGAGGCAGGGGCTGGTTCGCTGAGCTTCCTGCGCCTCCAGTGTCCCTCATGCCCGCAGACCTGCAGCCCCGAGCCTACGCCGGGAACCGAGGCCGGAAGCGGCCTGTCAGCAGAAGCAGGAGGCCAGGCCTCCCGGGCCTCCAGTGTAGGCTCTGGAGGGTCCCTGGGAGGGGTGGTCAGGGCCCTTCCTGGGGCCGGAGCCTCTGCTGGATCCTCAACCCAAGGGGCAGGGTGGGTCTCGAGGGCCCGAAGGCAGAGGATGGAAGAAGTGAGACGGGCCAGGGCTGTTCTGGGAGTTTCCCAACACCTTTCAGACACTGTAGTGTGGGCGGGGTGGGGGCTGGTTCCTTAAAGGCTCAGGCTTGGGTGGGCTGAGCCATGTCCCAGGAGCTCAGCCAGGCCACAAGTCTGCAAGGCCAAGAAGCAGATCTAGTAGGGCCCTTCTGGGACTTTGCCAGGACACCCCTGCCTGGAGTGCTCTTCCTAGCCAGCAAGCATCTGCTTGGAGGCACACGCCAGGTGTCTCTTGCCTCCCTGCCTAGTTCAGGCTCCTCCTCCAGGCTCCCCTCCCTGGCCCCGTGGCGTGGTGGCTGTCTGACCTCTGGTGCTCGGTGCTCTCGGGGAAGGTGGGAGGGCTCTGGGCATGCCTGGACCCCAGCAGATGGGTGTGAGTGGATACTGCAAGCTCCTCCGCGTTGGCAGTGTCCTTCCTGTCGCTGGGGCCTGGCTGCAGAGCCCAGTGGAAGCAGCTGTCTTCCCCGAGCCTCAGTTTCCCCCTCTCTGACTTGCCTTTGTGGGGGTTGTGGGCTAGAGATCAGTTTGGGCAGGCCTCAGTCTTTGGGGGCCACCTCCACAGGCCTTTTCTGAGCCTCTGTCCCAGCTGCCCTGGACTCACGGTTCGTTGTCCAAATCCTCAGTTATTCAAAGCCCCGAGCCCTGACCTACTCCTTCAGATGGCTCTCCCTGACGCTCTAGCCCACGCTGCTCTGAGTCCAAACCTGCTGAGCATGTCCCCAGCTGCTTTCTTCTCTTTGGCACACACTCTCGGCTCTGAGCAGGGCCTCAGGTACTGAGGCAGCTCGGCATGGCCTGCTTGGGCAAGTGGGCCTGTAACATCCAGCCACAGGCTAGTGGGGGCGGTGCCGGGTGGGGAGGAGCCCAGAGCAGGCAGCAACTCCTGCCCGGAGGCCACGGAGGCAACATTTGAGCTGCACCTTGAAGGGGAAGGCTGAAGACAAGGGAGTCTTGCGGGCACAGGTCAGTGTAGGAAAGGCCTTGGATGCCAGGTAAGTGACTTTAGGGTCTGGCCTCCCTCTGCAGACAGAGAACACCAGGGGAGGGGCCTGATGGGGCGGCATGCTCCTGAGGGCAGACCCTCTCCATAGTGCCCACAGCCCTGCACCCCACCTGGTGCCTGGCAGTCTCATGCCTGCCCTGCACATCTCTGCTGCTGGACACTGTCCACACTCTTGCGGCTCTTGGCCTTTTCTTTAAAGCTTTCAGGCCAGTGTCCCCCCTAGCCACCCATGTGTGACCATTGATTGATAGCTGCCTCTGCCACCAGGCTTTGAGGCCACTGAGGGCAGGAATCAGAGGGTTGGAGGTCCCCTAGGTCTCCAGCTCTCAGCCCAGCGCCTGACACGGTAGGTACTTAATAAATGTCGATTGAATATGTGAATGCGTGCAGGGCACAAAGTCCAGGAGCACCAGGCTGGAGGGGCTGCCAGGGGGCTGATGTGTAGGGGAGACAGGGACCTCTAGTGAGCAGGGAGCACCTCAGGCCCAGCGGGAGCTGTGCTGCCGTTGCATGTCGTTAGGCGGCTCCTAATAGAGCCGTTGCAGGGGTGGGAGCTGTCTCTGTGGCACCTCCGTGGGCAGGAGCCCCCACTGCTCCCCTGAGACACTTTCAGAATGGGGTCTGAGCCACCCTGCTACCCTCAGGCTGGCTGGGGACTCTGGGGCGAGCTGCGGGGCAGCCGGGCAGCCGTGGGAGGCAGGGTGATGGGAGGACCCAACCCTGACCTCACCAAAATTATTTTTAAAACCTGCAAGAGAAGGGGGATATTTTCAACCTTCATTCATCAAGGCATCCCAAGGGTGAAAGAAGCGGGCAGGAGGCAGAGGGGGTGTTGGTGAGGGGCTTGAGAAGGGCTGGGGCTTCTGAGGGGAGGAGCCGCCCCAGAGGGCCCTGACGATGAGCTTTTTTGTCCCTAGCCCTTTTAAATGTTAAAAGCTCCAAACAGCAAGAGGGCCGGTGGAGTTCATTATATCGAGTTATCTCCTCCGTTTCAGGCAGAGATCAATCTTCTGAGTCTTGAGCTCGGGGGCAAGGGAGGAGAAGGAGAATGGGAGGCGAAGGGAAAAACTCCCTGGACCAATTTCCGCTGGCTAACGTGATTACTGGGCTGCCCGGCAGCGCCAGCTGTTGGCAGGCGTCCTGGCCCCCACCGCCGCCAAGCCGCACTCAGCTGCTGGCTGCCCCCAAGGCTCCCTGGCGAATGGGGCAGGTGGCAGGTGTGAGAACCGGACCCGTGGGCGGGGCCTGCGGGGCAGGGCGGGCCTGGGGCAGCCCTGCCGGCTCTCAGCCCCGCCGCATCCCTGTCCCTGCCCGCCGGGCGCCCTCTGGCGCCTTCCCACTCCGCTTGGGCAGGGCTGAGAGCACAGGCTTTGGATCCTGACAGAGCTGGCCCTGCCCATTCATTCATTCACTCATTCACTCATTCATTCAAGAAATATTTGCTGACTGTCTCCTGGGTGCCAAGCACTGCAGGTAGCATGGGGTGAACACCGAGGTGAACAGAGTGGACACGGTCCCTCCCGCCGTACGGAGTTTCCGTTGCAAGGAGGGACAGAGGAGAGCAAGATGCACAGGCAAGGTCGTGTCAGGCGGGGATGCTAAGAAACTGGGTGAGACTGGTGTGGGGCGTTTTATCTGGAGTGGCATTTTATCTGGGACCGTAAGGGAGGGCTCATTTGCATGGAATGGCAGAAGTGTCTGGTGGAAGAACATTCCGGCAGAAGGAGCGGCAAGGGCAAAGACCTGGGACTGGCCGGTGCGGGAGGGAGGCAGCTTGTGGTGGAGGGGCTCAGGGAGGCGGGCAGGGTCCTGCAGGTTTTGCAAGGACTTGGCTCTGTGGCGTGGAAACGCCCTGCCATGGCAGGGTGGCGACAGGCTCTGATTCACCCGGTCCTTGCTGCTGTGCGAGTCTGGGCCAGCGTGGGCTCAGGGAGCCGGAGCAGAAGGAGGCTGCTCCGAGTCGGGCCGGAGGGGCTGGGGATGGGAGGTTCGGGTGTGCTGGGGTGAGACTGACAGGGTTTGCTGGGAGCACAGGCTTTGGATCCTGGCTTTGGTTTCTCGTCTACAAAATTAGGATCAAAGTAGCACCTGTCTTGGGGAGTTGTTAAGAAGATTAGATGGATTAATAAGTAAAGTGCTCAACCCAGTGTCTGGCACATAGTAGGAGCTCAGGGAGTAAAAGCAATGATGACTGCTGTGCGCGGCCATGGAAAGGTATGCAAAATCTCTTGTGAAGGGAGGAGCATGTTCCACACCAGAACATAGGCCGTTCTCCTTGGCACACAGCCCTGAGCGTGTGCGGACACACAGCAAACAGTGCACACCAGAGGCTGGCAGTCAGCACTTCTAGAGAGGTGACCGGGAATGGGAGTGCGTTTAGATTTAGAAATCTGCAGATTTCTGTATTTGAAGCTCTTTAAAGAGAACACTTTCACGTATTGCGAGTATAATGAGACTACAATGTATAAAAATGGTGATTTAGGCCCTCACCTCCTTTAGGAAGCCTCCCCTGACCTCACAGCCCCAAGCCTGCCCCATCAGCTCCCCTTGGTGTTTGGGAGCCACGTTGCCTGCTGTGGTCGCCATGAGCCAGCTGTGTGTGTGTGCTAGCATGTACGTGGGCCCAGCTAGCCTGTGAGCCACCCGAGGGTGTGGGCTTTGTGCTTGGAGGCTGGACACATCTTCAAGACCAGCAGTTCTCAGTGTGATCCCCAAATGGCAGCACCAGCGTCACCCGGGAGCTTGCTGGGAATTCAGATTCTCAGCCCCACTCTGGGCACTGATCAGAGACTCAAGGGCGGGCCCCAAGCTGTGTTTGCACCTGCCTGTGCCAATAGGCAAATCAAGGCACAGTGAGGCTCACAGCGGGATCCAGCGACAACACTGAGGCAGGACCCAGGAAGGGTTCCAGGCAGAGGTGGAGGTCAGGCCTGGGTGCGCCCTCCCTGACAGCTCCTCTGGGCTCCTTGGGCCCGTGAGGCACATGTGGCCCCAGGAGGAGGATGTGAGGTTCAGCCCTGTGTGTCCAGGGGCCAGAGAACTGTGCCTTCTGCTGCAGGCCGGCTCGCTCAGGTCGGTGGGGCTGCTATCCTTGGCCCACGTCAGGGAGCCTCCTGAATCCCAGCCTGCTGCAGCCCAGGCCCTTGCTTTCAGAAAGGGCAGTCTTTTTTTGTTGTTGTTGTTTGTTTGTTTTTTGTTTTTAATAAGACAGAGTCTCACTCTGTCACCTGGCTAGAGTGCAGTGTTGTCATTGTAGCTCACAGCAGCCTCAAACTCCTGGGCTCAAGCGATCTTTTTGCCTCAGCCTCCCACGTGGCTGGGACTACAGGCATGCATCACCATGCCTGGCTAATTTTTTCTAATTTTAGTAGAGATGGGGTCTCACTCTTGCTCAGGCTGGTCTCGAACTCCTGAGCTCAAGGGATCCTCCCAGCTCGGCCTCCCACAGTGCTAGGATTACAAGTGTGATCCCCGAGTCTGAACAGAAGTGCAGCCTCGACTCTGTGGAATGAATATGGCAGGGTCCAGGTCTCCTCCTGCTCCATCTGCCGCCGGGCATGGGGAGCCCAGGGTGGGCAGAAACTGGGTGGGGTGGATTGCAAGGTGGGTCTGTGGCCTGGTCTGACTGTTGTCTCCCCCTCCCTGCTGTCTCTCTGCAGGTGTCTGGCCGAGGAGCCTGAGCCCCTGTCTAGCGAGGTGAGCGGCCCTGTGTGTGCTGTGGATGGGGCAGTTTCAGGGGCTCTGTCTCCCTCTCTGCGGCCTCTTCCTCCTCTCCTTCTGCTGGGGGCCCCTCCCTACCATGTTCCTGGGGGCGCTGCTGACCCTGTGAGAGGAAGGGGTGAGGAAGTTTGGGAGTTGGCTTCCAGCAGAAAGGAGGAAGGTGGCTCCCTGGTTGGCAGGGTCAGGGTTGTGGGTGCTGGCCGAGCTCCCTGGGGACCCTGGAGGCCCCTCATGAAGGAGGGAGCAGAGCTGTGGGCCTCGGTGGGTGGACTGCCCGTGGGGCCAGGCCAGTGCACCAGATGAGGCTGGGGTGCTCTGGTGGTCGGGCTCTGGCCTTGGGGGCCCGGCTGTGGTCTGTGATGAGAAAGCATTTTGGGGACGCGACTCCCGTGCCTGGGAACATTGTTAGAGGAGGCGGCAAGGCAGACCCGCAGGTCTCTGGGGCAGACACATGCCCTCTGCCCAGATTCCCTCCGAGGCTCTGCTGTCTCCTCCAACCTCAGTTCCAAGGCGGCTTGCCCGTGGAGGGTTCTGGGAGGGCTTCTAGTTTCCATCTGGTCGGGCGTGTGGGGGCAGGTGCGTCTGCCGCGTCAGCCCTGTCTCCATGCTCGCGAGGCCCAGAAGAGGGTGGCACCCTCCCCTGGGTGCCTGGGTGGGCGGCCCACCCTCCTCTGGCCCGGCCAGCTCACCCAGGAGAAGGGCTAACTGAGACCGTGACTTAGGGTTTGGGCCTCTCTCTTCAGACACTGCCCCAGTTTCCTTATCTGTGAAAGGGGACCCTAGTGCGTCCTCCTGAGCACTGTGTCGCGTGTGGAGGGCCAAGTACAGAGAGCCTGGCACACTGTGGTGCTCAATAAGCGTTTAAACACACATCAGTTGTTTTGCAGCAGAGCCTGGGAAGGAGTCTGAAGGACGCTAGGATCAAGAAGTGCAGCCCCTGGCAGCTCAGACACCCCGCTAGCATGCGAGAGAGGAGACACTGTACTTAGCGGTCCCAATCCAGGCATACTGCCTGGAGGAGGGGTGCTAATTGATATTAATTTGTCACGATTGATCATCTCTTTTTAAGTCTGAAAGAAACCTTTTTCATACTTTAATCAGCTCATTAATCTTAGCAACACCAGCCTATGAGCGGGCGAAATGTGTTCACTTTGTAGAGGTGGGGAAGCCGGGGCAGGCAGGGGGACAGACCTTGGTGTTGAGGTAGGATTTGGTCTAGGTCCCCACCCCGGGTCCCATGGTCCCATCGCTCTCCTTACAAATGGCTCCCCAGTCTGGGTCCTCCTGATGGGAGGGATGTGGTTGGAGGTCATGCCGGTGGCCCCCATGTCCCCTGGCCAGGCCCCCAGACCATGGCGAAGGGAGGGACACGCTGTGTGGACCAGGCACTGCAGCCAGCGGGTCTGTGGGAGGAGCCTCCTGGCTTGGTCTCTCGGGTTCTCTCTCTGGGGCACGTCCCTCCATCCTGGGCATGGACTCACCCCCTCTCCTCCACACCCCGCCCTGACAGCCCCCTCAGAGTCTGCCTTCTTGGAGAGCCGCCCCGCAGCAACCGCCCTTGGCTGCCTCCCCGCCCACTTGGTTCAGGAGAACAAGTTCCAGGCACTTGTCTCACCGACCGGGGCCGGGGTGGGGGGAGTTTGGGTGGCCACTGTATGCCAGAGAGGCCTGGAGTCTTGGGCAGGAGACTCGGGGGAGCCCGCAGAGGCAGGACTCATGGCAGGGATGAGAGCTGGAGGGCGGGTTCCGGGCTGTGAGGCCGAGCGCAGCCAGCAGGAAGGGCCAACCGGAACACCTGGGCACAGCAATGAGCACGGCCGTCATTTATGACTCGTGGGACGGCCCCGTGAAATCTTTGGAAGAAACTGTGTGCTGGATCGGAGCCCGGTGTGCGTGCCGGGCCAGCAGCCTGGGAAGGAGGCATCGTGTGGATCTGGGAGCCGAGGCTACAGTGGCAGCACCTGTCAGAGCGCAGGCCGGGGAGCTGCAGGTCGCATGGGGCACGTGGGCTCCGCCTGCAGGCAAAGCAAGGTGAGGCTTGTGGCCAGCCCCGGCCAGGTGCCCTGCTGCAGATGAAGCCGCATGTGGGCCTGAGGGGCAGGCACCTTCTGCGGGGACCACACCTGTGAGGGCCTCCAGAAGGGAACGGGGTCCGCCTGGCCCTGCCCAGGAGGCCCGGGGCAGGGGTCTGCTTGGATGGGTGTATCTGCTGGGCACCCACGGCCACCCCGTCTTCGCCACCAGAGCTTACTGGCCTGGCTTTGCGTGTGGGCCGGAGATGCCAACCCAAGCCAGAGCTACCCTCATTCCTAAAACAGGGGAACAGAACAGTGGGGGTGGGTGTTAGGCTAGTTCCCTAAATGACATCCTATACTTGGGCACTAAAGTTTTAGCTTTAACAGGTCAGAGAGTGTCTGCTTCAAACACGGCTGTTCCTTTGGTTTTCACCTCGGCCAGCCCAACACAGAGGGAGACCCACCGCCGCGCGGCTCTCTGGTCCCGAACGCCCGGGTGGTTTGCTTAGCAGCCAGGCCGCCTGGGCTCTGTTGCTGTCGCACTTGGGAGCTGGGTGGCCTGGGGCGCATTCCTGGTTTCTCCTACTTCTGTCCTGTGTGGCAGATGGGCCGCTGCCTCCTCGAAGGGATGTCGTCAGGGGAGCAGGAGAGGTCTTCAGACGGGACCTGCTCGTGGAGCCAGCTCGGGCTGACGTCTGGGTCCCTGCCTCCAGCCCAGCGGCCCCAGCGTCTTTCCCGCTGCCTCCCTCTGGGCGTGAACACGGCTGGGCAGCAGGGACTGGGCATGGGTGAGAGAGCTCGTCCCTGCTTTGGTGACAGGCACGCTCAGCCACCTGGGTGGAGGTGGCACAGAGGGGTGAAGTCTCGGAGCCTAAGGAGGCTGAGGCAGGGTGCAGGGCAGCAGCACCGCAGTGCAGCGCAGCGCTGGGGCTGGGCCGGGAGGGGAGAGAGGAGAGGAGCAGGAACTGGCACGTGCCCACACAGGCTCTTCACACGTGGAGCATCATTTATCCCTCTGGCAGGAGAGGGCGTCCTTATTCCTGTTTGCATATGCAAAGTGGAGGCCCCCACGGGGAAGGCGAGTTGACCCAAGTCGCAGAGGAGGCAGAGCTGGGATTGAAGCCCCTGCGTCCTGTGTCCCTGAGGGCCCGCAGGGACCAGGAGTGGGTATGGCTCTAGGGCCAGGCTCTGCCTGTCCTGGGCAGGGGACGCGCATGGGCCTGGACAGACATGCCTGTGCATGTGCCTCTGTGTTCTGATGTTCCCCCACTGCAGCAAGGAAACTCTCGGGGAAACTAGGGCAGTGGGGCGGCTCTCTGACACCTCCTACAGCATTGGCACCTGGGGGTGGCTTCCACATTGGAGCCTGGTGCCCAGGCCCAGCCTGTTCTCTGCACATGCCTCCCCTGATCCTGCCCGGCTCCCGACCCCAGCCTGTCTGCTAGGGTGGAGGGGGGTCAGGGGCTGCACAGTGCCCTGGAATAATAAAAGTAATTAGTGGTTCAGACGTTGTATGCACGAGTAAATGATCATTCTTTGTTATCTGCATTCTGCAGCTAAGGAAATAGAGGCCAGAGGAGCATAGTGACCTGCCCAAGGTCACATAGCTAGGCAGCTGTGGGGCAGGATTCTGATGCGGGTGGTGAGCAGGGCCAGTGGGGCCTAGCTCTGGTTTTGCTCAGTGGGCAGTCCCAGGACAGCCCCTCAAGGCCACCAGGGCCAAGACCCTGCCCCAGCTGTCATTCTCCAGCCCTGCTGTGGCCAGGCCAGAGGGAGGCATTGGGTACACATCACCTCCACTGAACTGCCTTGCCGTGCCCACAACGTGGGGGCTGGGGCTCAGAGGGGTCCCAGGCCACTCTGATGCCAAAGTCCAGCTTTTATCCTCCCTGCTGTGCTACTCCAGAGTGTCTGGTGGTGCTTTGCCGGCCCGTCCTCCCCTGCTGCTTGTGGAGTCAAGTATCCGCCCTCCTCCCCCAGGCCCAATGCCTGCTTATGCAGCTAAGGGAAGGGGAGAGCCTGGCCAGTCTAGACACAGAGGGGCAGAGAGGCAGGGTCAGCCCCGCATGGGTGCGGGAGGCAGGGGCCGGATCTCTCAGTCTCAGGGTTGGGAAGGCACGTGGAGGTCCCCCTGCCCATCAGATGTCCTTTCTGACACCTGAGTCCCCGAGGCTGTATGGTAGCTGTTAGGAACCGAGTTTGTGGCATCAGACAGTATGCTGTGAATTCCAGCTCCAGTACTTACCAGCTCTGTGGCCTTAGACATGTTACTTAAGCTCTCTGTGTCTCAGTTTCCCCATTTGATAAAGGGAAAGTGATAGTAGAACCCATGTGGCAGGGCTGTTAGAGAAGTGAATGGGGTGTTTATTTACCGTGGCAGGAGTGATGCTTGGCTCGCAGGCTCTCGGCAAATCCTAGTCAAAGTGGTCATTAGCAGCTGCAGGGTATTCTAGGAAGACAGCAAGGCGCCCCCAGCTCATATGTGTAACTAATGCCAGAGCCAGGACAGGGACGGGCTGGAGCTTGCTGCAGCTTTCCCCACCCACCGCAACCCCACGCCCCCCAGACCTCAGCCCCGAGTTTCCTATCACCTGAGGACAGCCCGGTGGGGGTGGATGAATGGATGGGGATGGGGGTTACCATTTTCACATTAACTGTTTATATATGTGCACCTGCCTTATTCCGTCAAGTAATTGAGAGAGCTTCTAAGCATAAGTATGGTACCAAGATAGACAATCCAAGCCAGGGGAAACTGGGATGCAATAGGAAGAAAAGGCTTGGAAAACATTAGAACATGGACACATAGGGTCTGATGTCGGGCTGAATATTTGGCCCTGTGATTCCTGATGGTCGGGATGAAAAGGGAAATATCAGTTTCGAGATTCATGCTGTGCACAGGAGCAAAGCAGCACAGAGTCCCCGAGAAGGAGCGGGTTTCCTCGAGGAGTGAGAGCTGCGTCTGCCCACCCATCTCTGCAACCCAAGGCAGACCAGAGTCTGCAGGATGGAGGTCAGGTGCTGGACCTGGGTCAGGGGCTGGCCAGTTCCAGGCAGGAAGACCCTCTGTCTGCATAGGGCGATGCTGGGGCCCAGGGCAAAGACCATGTGGCTGGGAGGGTGGGGTAGGCGCTGGGCCATAGCCCCCCAGCTTCCAGCTCCCCTAGCTCTGGATTCTCTTGGGCAGTTGGGTCTGGGCCTGAGGCTAGCTCTGCCTGTTCCATTCCCCTCCTCTCTTCAAGAACCCTCAGTGTCTCCCCATTGCCTGAGCATCTGCTGTGGCTCCCTAAGCCTGGCCTCAGCCCAGCTCAGCCCTTGGGGCTCCCTCACAGCCCCTCCCTCAGCCCCACGCTGCAAGTGCTCGCCTCGCCTCCCCCTGCTCGCCTCGCCTCCCCCTTCACCGAAGCCCCCAGTGCCGGCTGGGCTCCTGGGGGCGTGGGGCAGCCTGCAGCCTTGCAGGAAGGAGGGTTACAGAGAAGGGACGTGTAGCAGTCACAGGGCTGGGTTCCAGTTTGCAGAAGGTCTTGCACATATTTGGCCGAGCCCAGACCACCAAACAGCCCGTGAAATGGGGTGGCAGCACCCCACCGGGAACACGGCCCCTGCTTCAGCCCTGCCCGCTGTGTGCCAGCCACTGCTCTAAGCATTTTACACCATTTATTTATTTCATTTTCACCACAGCCCATAGGCTGTTTTTACAGGAGGGACTGAAGCTCGGAGAGGTTAAGTGTAATAATTTGCCCGAAGTTACACAGTCCTTAAGTGGCAGCGCAGGGTTAGAACCCAGCAGTCTGGATTCAGTAGAAAGGGAAGGCGCCCACCCGAGCTTTTGTCTCCTCGGCTCCTCCCTCTCCCTCCTGAGGGCTGCAGAGGGAACAGGGAGACCTCCGTTCCAGGTGAGGGAGCAGGACCCAGAGGGCAGGGCCTGCCGGTCAGACGGAGGGAGTGGATACCGTGGGCTCCCATCAGCGCCTCTGATCCCCAGCTGGGGCTGGGGCTGCCCTCACTCAGGCCCCTCCCGCAGTGCTGGGAGGGGGGCCAGGACTGAGGCGGGAAGGGCCACAGGAAGTCCTCCTCTGGGAGTGACCATTGCGCAGGTCCCTGTCTACCGCACCCACTCCCATCCCAGCCCTGAGAGGAGGCTTTGCTCTCTGGCCTGGCTGGGAACTGGGTGGGCTCCAGTTCTCAGCAGGCCCTAAGCGGGTGGCCTGTGGCATGGTCGTGAGGGACGGGCACCTGGCAGGATGGGCATTGCTCACACTCCTGGGCAGTGCAGAGGCAGTGCCTGAAATGCCTGCACCAGGCAAGTCTGTCACCACCAGGCAGCGGGCAGGGAAGAGGCCCCTCCTGAGGAAGGTGACCCCGCTGAGGAAGGTGGCCCCCCTGAGAAAGGTGACCCCACTGAGGAAGGTGGCCCCACTGAGGAAGGTGGCCCCCCTGAGAAAGGTGACCCCACTGAGGAAGGTAGCCCCCTGAGGAAGGTGACCCCACTGAGGAAGGTGGCCCCACTGAGGAAGGTGACCCCACTGAGCAAGGTGACCCCACTGAGCAAGGTGGCCCCCCTGAGGAAGGTGACCCCACTGAGGAAGGTGGCCCCCCTGAGAAAGGTGACCCCACTGAGGAAGGTGACCCCACTGAGGAAGGTGGCCCCCCTGAGAAAGGTGACCCCACTGAGGAAGGTGACCCCACTGAGGAAGGTGACCCCCCTGAGGAAGGTGACCCCACTGAGGAAGGTGACCCCACTGAGAAAAAAAAATAGAAGTGACCCACTGAGGAAGTGACCCCAAATGAGGAACGTACCCCACACCTGAGGCGAGGTGAGCCCCTTGAGAAAGGTGATCCCCACTGACGGAACGGTGACGGGCCACTGGGAGGGTGACCCCCCTGAGGAAGGTGGCCCTCCCTGAGGAAGGTTGACCCCCCCTGAGGAGGTACCCCCCCACCTGAGGCAAGGTACCCCCAAACTGACCAAGGTGGCCCCTGAGAGAGTGACCCCACTGAGGCAAGGTGCCCCCCTGAGGAGGGTGGCGCCCTGAGGAAGTTGACCCACTGAGGAAGAGGGGCCCCCCTTGGGGGGGACCCTCCTGGGAAGGTGCCCCCCCTGAGAACGGTGACCCCACGAGCGTAACGTGAGGCCCCCCTGAGGAAGGTGACCCCCACCTGAAGGAAGGTGGGCCCCACTGAGGATGGGGACCACGGAGGAGGGGCCCCCCCTGAGAAGGTGACCCCACTGAGTGAAGGTGGCCCCACGAGGAAGGTCGCCCCCCCAACCTGGGAAGTGAACCCACTGGGCGAGGAAGGGACCCACTGAGGAAGGTGGCCCTCCGCTGAGAAGGTGCCTCCCCCCTGAGGAAGGTGACGCCCACTGAGGAAGGTGCCCTAGAAGGGACCCCACCGAGGAAGAAGGTGACCCCACTGAGGAAGGTGGCCCCCCTGAGGAAGGTGACCCCACTGAGGAAGGTGGCCCCCCTGAGGAAGGTGACCCCACTGAGGAAGGTTATCCCACTGAGGAAGGTGGCTCCCCTGAGGAAGGTGACCCCACTGAGGAAGGTGGCTCCCCTGAGGAAGGTGGCCTCCTGAGGAAGGTGACACAGCCCCGACCTCTCTGAAGAGCCCAGTTTGAGGGCCCTCCTCCTTTTCTGCCAGGGCCTGCCCCTTAGTTTGTTGTGAAGCCTGTTAAATATAATATCCCGCTTTAAGACGCGTGGTAAGGCTTGCCTCCTCCATAGCCCCGTGTGCCCACGTGTCAGTCCTGGCCACCCCTCAAAGGAATGAGCTGTGGCCCCGGGGCCAGGCGAGATGGCTTTGAGTGCACACTGCCGCCGGCCAGCTGTGAGACTTGCGGGCGTCACTTCACCTCTGAGTGCGGTTCCTCGTTTATAGGGTGGTGATGAAGCTCATTTTCCTTTTTCTTTCTTTCTTTGTTTTTATCGTGGCAAGAGCACGTGACATGAAGTGTGTCATCACCACGGTTTTCAGTCCCGGCGGCGCAGTGGTGTCAGCTGTGCACACCTTGCTGCTCGCAGGACACTGGCGTCTTGCACGGCCGAGGGTCTGCTCCCACCGAGCGGCCGGCAGCCTCCGCCCGCTCCCTGTTTCTGAGAGTTTGGCTGCAACGGACACCTCACAATACGTGGGTCATGCATTCCTGTGTTTGTCTGTGGCTGGCGTGTTTCACTCAGCACCGTGGCCTCCTGTCCCGTGGCACGGAACAGGGTCGCCTTCCTTCCCGAGGCTGAGTGGCCCCGTCCCCTGCGTGCACTGGTGCCCGGTCCTCTGCTCGCCCGCGGACGGGCGTCGGCGCTTCCCTCTCGGCTTTGCGCGGCGCTGCAGTGGCCCGTCTGTGCGCCGGTCTTTGAGACGCCGTTTTCAGTTCCTCGGATATGTATGCCCAGAAGCAGGGGTGCAGGATCTCACGGTGATTCTATCTTTAACTTTTTGCGGAACGCCCATACCGTTTTCCATGGTGGCCGCACCATTTTGTTAATACATTCCCCCAGCAGTGCATGAAGATTCTCGTTTCTCCCCACCCTTGGCAGCACTTGTTGCTTTGTGGATTTTTGTTAGTGGCCGTCCTGTGGCCCGAGGTGATTCCTCATCGTGGCTTTTCTTTGCATTTCTCTGATGGTCAGTGATGCTGGACATCTTTTCGTGTGCTTCTTGGCCATTTATATGTCTTCCTTGGAGAAATGTCTATTTAAGTCCTGTGTTCACTTTTGATTGGATTATTTCTGTTGTTGAGTTGTAGGAGTTCTTTGTATATTCTAGATAGTAACCCCTTTCAGATGTACGATTTGCCAGTATTTTCTTCCATTCCACAGGTTGCCTTTTCACTCTGTTGGTTGTTTCCTTTGCTAAGCAGAAGTTTTTAAGTTCGATGTGGTCCCATTTGTCTATTTTTGCTTTTGTTGCCTGCACTTTTGGTGTCATATCCAAGAGTCATTGCCAAATCCAATGTCATGAAGCTTCTCCCTATGTTTTTTTCTAGGAGTAGTATAGTTTCAGGTCTTATATTTAAGTCTTTCTCTCATTCCGAGTTAGTTTTTGCATGTGGCATAAGGTAAGAGTCCAATTTCATTTTGTGTGTGTGTGTGAATAGAGGCCGAAGCAACCTCAAGCTCATTCTTTTCTTGTATAGTGTCTGAATGTCTGGGTGCCTCAATGAGGACAGGGCCCGTGTCCCTTTCTCCTGGTGGTGGCTTTGGCTTTGGCCCAAGCCCTTCCTCCTCCCTTCTTTGGGCCCTGCCGCGCCCAGGCCAGGTTGGGCAGGGCTAGCATCCCACGGGGTGGTGTGAGCCACTGCAGGGTGCAGGCTTCCTCCCCACCCACCGCTAGCTTCTGGGTGGGGTCAGGAACTCTGATGGCAGAGACACGGGTGCCCATGCCACTCAGGAGGACATGTACAGGACCAGCAGCCCAAAGAGTCAACACTGTGGGAATAAGATCTCCGTGGGCCCTGTCCTTCTGGTGACCCACATGAAGGTGCACAGTCCCAAGAGGTGGCTCTGGCCTTGGGTGCTCAGCTGATGGAGGCTCTGAGCTAAACCTACCAAACCATATATAATTTTACAGCTGGAAAAATGAAGTTTTGCACGTGGGCTCAAAACCCAGTAGCTAGGGGATGGGAGCGGGCTGGTGGGGTGGCCGCTCCCACGCACACTGCCCGCGAGCTGTGCGGGCACTCACACCGGCCCTCTCCTCAGTGCAGCAGCACCGTTCAGGGGTTCACATTCCCAGCTCACATCCTGGTGTTCCCAGGTCTGGCAGGTGCAGGCTCCACCTGTGACAAGGACTGCCTGTCCCTTTCTGTGTGAACCAGGCAGGCCACTTCCCCACCCTGGGCCTCAGTTTCTCTGTCTATGAAATAACCAATGCTCCTTACCGTGGGAAATTGCAGGGCTGAGCAAGGCGAAGAATTTAAGTTCCTCTGTGCAGAGCCGGTGCAGATGGGGAAGCTGCCACCCAAGCCCACGTGGTGGAACCCCGTGCTCCCCAGTCCTGGGCCGGGAGGTCGGCAGAGCTCCCTCACCTGCCTCTGGACTAGGCACCCCCAGACCAGGCTGGACACCCAGGAGGGAGCTCCCATCAGGAGAGGGTGGGCACGGGGTGAACCCTTCCCCCGACTCGTCACCACAGCTGGTGTGGCCAGCACTGGGCGGCCTGGGAGGAGGCCGGGCTGGTATCCCCGCTCCCCAGGGGGCAGCGACAGGGCCACGGGGACGCAGCTGCCGACGCCCGCCACGGCGTGGGGATGCGCTACAGGTTTCCTGGGGACCTGCCGGGGAGGTCGGAGGGGGACGTGGACGGGGCTGGCGTGGGGCTGGAGCCCTGGCCCCGTGGGCCGAGGGCGGAAGCACTTCCTGCCCTTGGGAGCTGTGGCTGTGCTCCTGGGTCAGAAGCCCGGCACGGGCCTCCAGCGCCTGCGGGCCGGACCCTCGCGGCGGCGGGGTGGGTGCCGGCCATGCGCCCACTTTCAGATGCAGGGCCACCCAGGCAGGCGAGGTGGGAGCCCGAAGGAGGCTCTGCCACAGGCTTGCTGGTGACCTGGCCAGTCCAGCCCGGGTCCCCGTCTGGACAGCGGGGACTCAGACGCAGCTGGGGGCGTGCTTGGGTCAGCTCTCTTCTGTTGAAGGTGCTGAAGTGTCAGGGGTGGCAGACCTGGCCACGCCCTGAGCTTGCAGACCAGCAGACCGAGGCCGAGGCCGAGAGCATTAGGCCGCTGGGGCCTGGGCCATCTCCCTGCCGGTCTCTCCCAACGCCCGCCTCGCGTCAGCACGGGGAGCCACCGGCCACGTGTGTCTGTGTGCGCGTGTGTGCACGCGTGTGTGTGCACGCGTGTGTGTGCTGCGGGTGCTGGGAGGAAGCTGGTGGGGCTGCGCACGGCCCAGGACAGGTGGACAGGAGGAAGGGCCACCCGCCTCCCTGTCCTGTTCCGGGGCAGAGAGTGGGAGAAGCCCTGGGTGACTGGGTTTGTGCCGCTATATATAGCCCAGCGCAGACACGCACACCCGGCTATTTCTGTGTTCCTCCTCCTACTGAGGCAGGGGGAGGGGAGAGAAAGTAGTCCATCTAAAAATATAACCCAGGGAAAAATATCACAACGCCTAGCTAAGCCCAAGAGATCTGTCTCGTCCTCACACCTCCCGCCCCCGCGCCCCGACTTACCTCACAGCCGCCTCAGCTCCGCTTGGAACCTTCGGGCTGGCGGCCCCTC